ACACTACCGGTCGACGCTATGTCCTACAGAAAAAGACAAAATAGAACGAAAAACACATCTATATGCAGATTCTATCAATGATCTACTACCAGCTAGTCCATCATCAATCAATGTCAACATATCCATGATCTACTACCAGCTAGTCCATCATCGACTAATGACAACATAGATGCATATACAAGCTATATTCCCATACAGAAAAATAACCCTATAATAATTTTCTATATGGAACTAAGATCCGTATTTCACATAAGAACAAGTTTTTACACTCAGCCTTATGCTATTTAGGTAGACATCTAATGTCAATCACATCCAATGTGACTCGTAGATCTTTTATGAGACTATGATATCGAATGTCATTGCATACTCGTCTCATCTGTACCGTTAAGTCTCAAGTCAAACTCGACAACTTAACCTAAGGTAAACCATGTTCAAGCTGTGGGAACCACGATTTTCCACCCTGCCTCACAAAGATAATCCGGCACGCTCAGCTTTGGCATGACCCGTGTTACGGACGATCGATGCCTTGACAGGTGCTCTAGTAATGGAAGGTACACGCTTAGCATTACATAAATAAGGGATTTTCGAAACCACACTTAGATCAAGCATCTACTTTCAAGCTATGAGAACCACCATTTCTCCATCTTGCCTCACCAAGATAATACGGCACACCCAGCTTTGGCATGGCCCATGACACGTACGATCGTGGCCTTGACAAGTGCTTTACTCGTAGAGCTCCTAGATCTAACCGGTTTCTGTGCAACGATTGTACATAATCCGAATAGACTATCCATTCGATTATGTAATCCCAATCCCTAAGCTCCCACTCAATCAAGCATATCTAATATCTTGATTAAGTTATATGCATTCATTCACTATAGATCATCCAAATGAACGAATCATGCTATTCTGAATCACAGTTGACCGGTTTAAGCAACGATTGCTCAATACAGATCCCGAAACGAAAAACCAAATTTTGGTGAAGCCTCGGGACCCAGACCGATCGGTCTAGGCCTAGACCGATCGGTCTACACGGCTCGGTCTCCAGGTCAAGGTCGGTCCAGACTTTTCGGTCTGGAACGGTCCAGACGGATCGGTCTTGGTCCAGACCGATCGGTCTACGCATGCAGACCGTTCAGTTCGGACCTGTCCGTCCAACCGACTTGCGAAACCCTAGACCGATCGGTCCAGAGGATCAGACCGATCGGTCCAGGCGAAAACGTGATCAGATCTCGTTTTCGTTGTTTCTGCCCCGTTTCAGACCCGAATTTGACTCTGTTTTCGCCTGCGAACTCAGAATTCGAAGCTCTTGCACATTATGCAACAATGAACAAAAAATCTACTCTAGATCCACAATCAAATCATGCATAGCATCAAAGCAAACACGGATTCAAACAATTCAAATCCTATAACGTGCATGATTGATCGGGTTCTAACAAAATTATGCAGAGCAACCAGGCTCTGATACCACTGTTGGTTTTTCCTGGGATCTCATGAGCGAATCTAATTCCTAAGAGATCAGTTCTAGGGTTTGCGCAGCGGATGTAAAACAAAATTTTGATAAAACCCTAAAACCTATCATGCATGATCTTGTAGAAACGTTAGAACGCTTACCTCAATCGATCTGGGACATGTATCAATTGATGTGTTCGTCTGATCACTGTAGGCAGGAAGAATACCTTGCCCTCTACACGTATCCACACGGCGGAAAGGATTCCAACGGTTGGAACTCGTCTGCTAGGACTGAAGAACACGTTCCTCTTTGCGCAAGGATTTCAGGGATCTAACTCTTAGGTTTTCAACTCTCGAAACCTGTCAATAGGGTCTAAAAGTCATCCAAGAGGATTAGGAGGCATTCCCCAAAGTTAATCCCACTTAAAACCCTAATTAGAGCGAGTTTAGAAAATCCCGACGTCTGGACCGATCGGTCCAGGCCTAGACCGATCGGTCTGGAGCTTATTTTACGTCTGGACCGATCAGTCCATGGTTCTGGACCGATCGGTCTGGAATAATTTCCGAACCGAGTGACTTTCACACGTTACCTCCGGACCGATCGGTCTACGCCTGGACTGATCGGTCTCGGCTGGCTGGATCGATCGGTCTAGACCTTCTAGACCGGTCGGTCTGGCCTCCGCTCCACCGGGATTTTCTCGTCTCTTCTCGCGCATTCGTCATTTCCTGTGTATGTGATCCTAACAGTATAACCCGAAATCTTTTATTCCGGTTACACAAGTCATAGGCGGTCTCTAGCAAGACACTATGACTACCTATCTCGAATAGAGTTGGTTCGTGATCCTACGAACGCCGGTGATGATTCCGTTTGATGATCCTTTTGTATCACGATATCATATGTCGAATATAAGGCATGGACAAGCCACCTTATCTGATTTGACTGCTTTCTCGTTCACTGAGTTCGACTGTCTGAAATAGAAGACGTTCGTCTATAGTGCGGCCACACATTTCTACAGTCTCGCTCACACGAGGGGCCCAGCGACATCTCTCTCTTTTACGAGAGGTACAAATCCCGTCTTGACTATCTACAATCCAGCACATGATTCGTTTCGTACCTGATACACGCCTTTATAGTCCTCCTGTTACGCAGGACGTTTAACGTATTCAAAGCACGCAACTCCTCATGTTGGATTCCGTAGATATCTCAGGTCTTAGGATCCAATCATGGAACCGCCATATGAGATTCAAGTCATGATGCTCGTCCATGTGACAATCTCATGCGGGTCATTCCAGTATTCCGTTCTCCAACGAATATCTATGATTGTGATCGTATCCAATACCTATGATCATCTATATGATCATCAATCACACATCGACTAGGGAGTTTAGTATTGTTCACAACAATACATGGATTTCATAACATATCAAGTATGTACAATACGTAATGAATCAAACACTCAACCATAAGCTCAGAGAAAGTGTCAATACATCAAATGTATCATAAGAAAGCTCATATAACAGTTCATCATAAAGCACTAAACCAACAAAATTGACTGAACAAAATGGCGGTTGACATCCCCAATCGCCAAGATAGTTATGTAACTGCTTGTCTAAAACGCAGAAAACTGTCAACTGTCCCGAATTGTCAACCATCCACGAGTCCAGAACACTTATTTTCGCACCACAATAGTCGTCCAGAACTGCTTTGCGCATCCAAACTTCTCGTCTGTTGTACACGTCCATCTGCAAAGCTGCATGCACTTGGCTATTCCCCATTCATCCATCATCTCCCTTAACCCGTTTGTCCGAGTCCAAGCCAACCAAACTAGCTCGTCCGCATATCCCAGTTCCACATGAATGTTGTCCCGACATTTGTATTTCCTCCCAAACATGTTGTTGGCCGCGTTCGATCATCGGTCTCAGCCTTTATGGATGTAACAGTGACCATGCACGGATGACTTTAGAGTCATATTAAGTCTCGCTTTCTTCCGTCAAGTTAACATATTGCTCATAACAATATCGAATTCTCCCGTTTATATAATCTTAGTCATTTAAAATAAGAAGAATTTAAGTAGCCTGATAATTATGTTTGGATCATGTAAAAACTCAATGAAGAGGATAATGGAAGGATATGAAATAATATCTCCCATGATATTATTCTCAAATCACATCCCTAATTTTATGTTTTATTGTTATCTAGAATATTGGCTATTGATTGACTACATATATTCATGTATTAATAATTAATGAGAATACAAAAAAATATAGGCATATGTAGTCAACGATTAAGTAATCAATAGCCAATATTCTAGACAACAATAAAGCATAAAATTAGGGATGTGATTTAAGAATAATATCACGGAAGATATTATTTCATATCTTTCCATTAGAGGAGACACCCACCGATCATATCATATGTTTACCGAATGAAGTTTGAATCGTTTTGGACAGATTCAAAGATGTAATGTCCCCATGAATGACAAGAAATTTCCACCAAGGAAAGAGACGGATCATGAGATCAAATTCGAAACTGTTGTATCAATAATATTCGTTTAAATATATATATATATATATATATATATATATATATATATCAAAGATATTTTTA